GAATGAAACTAATAACAGAGTAGATACAAATGAGTAGGTCATCTTCATAGAAACGCCCGAGCGCGGTTTGTATGTGAGCGCGCCAATACGTATGCGGCGCGCACGCACACACTGACAAAATTTAGCGTTGATTAGCGGTGAATTGCCCTGAATTTTGTCAGTGTGTGCGTGAGCGCCGCATACGTATTGGCGTGCGCTCACATACAAACCGCGCTCGGTGCGTTTCTATGAAGATGACCTACTCATTTGTATTTACTCTGCTAATAATTTATAAATCTTAACATTTGACATTATTTTAACACTTTCAAACCTGCAATATATTTATAAATGTGACATGTGTGTGTGTGAAATAACCCAAAGTGGTCAAAAAGTTGACAACACAAACACAACCGAGGGCTATCGTTTTAGCGCTCACCAGTTAGCGCCACTGTAGAGTAAGGTCCTGTCACTTGCTAGTAGCGAAGACAGTGGCACCACCTGGTAAGCGCTAAAGTGGTAGGAGGACTATCGCATTTGCACTCATCAAGATGGCGCCACTGTAGAGTAAGGTTCTGTCAATCGCCAGGGGTGCCAACTGTTAAGTATAAAAACGATAGCCCTCATTGTAACAAAGACGTGATGCGGACTTATTGGCTACTTTGGATGTCACAAACTTTAACGATGACTGAACAAAGACAATAATATGACAGTATGACACAAGCTATTAATTATTTAACATGACTATACATCAATAACATAGCTAAAGCGCTGTGTATTTTCAGTGAACAGATATAGAATGTACAGGAATACAAGTTTTTAAACTTCTTTTGAGATAATAAGTACAGATGAAAGAACACCAGACAAAAGTCCGGTCACCGAGCAGATAGAATTTCGTACAATGACCCCGAGCTACCCATCCTTATCGCTCGCACACTCATTGCGGCTGCCCGTCGCACAGTCGCGACAGCAATATAATTACGCGCGATAGATAAGGATGGGTAGCTTGGGGTCATTGTACCAAATTATTTCTGCTCGGCGACCGGACTTTACACATTTTTTTTAAATGGCATCTATTACAAATACGTACTACCCGATTGAGTTAACTGGGCACCTCGCTGGAATGCGACTTTAATTCGTCCGGTTTGTAAAATTTTCAACTGTATAATCTACCAAAAACCCAATATGACTCGATAATAAACTTTGTGTCAACGATACAAATTCAAAATCGCTTGGACATGATATCGCTTACTAATTTTTTTACGCCCAACTTATATTCTGTACAAAGTAGGCTTATTTCAATTATGTAACAAGCTAGAAAAAGCTAGATATTAACTACTAATCATTTTGTAACAGAGACACAAAGGCAATTTTTGTTTTACTTTTATGCTATGAAAAAATGAAATAAACCTACTTCATATTTATGTATTTAATATTTCCGAGTTATTTTTAAACATCATTTTGGAAATAGTAACAAGTTTTACCAATTATTTAAAAGTTCTTAGTTATATTTAGGTCCTTGCAACATTTCACAAAAAATGGAAACAGAAACGTGACAAAAAACGTAGTTTTCCCAAACAAATAGCTAAAATAAGGTCGTTCTTTTCTTACTCTTATAATTAGAATGAGACAACATTGCTTTTCATATACATTTTCTAATTATTTGAGTTAATTTTCTATTTTTTTTTACTTTTGATAGAAAACCGCGCATTTCGTCACAAATTATATAAAAAATACAACCCATATAACCAAAAATACGTCTAAATATTAAAGATTATATAACAGTAGTATATTTATTTGCAAAATATATATATTAGAGACATTTCCCGCCTACTTCAAGTGTGTTGGCAAATGGCTACAAACATTTTGGAAACTTTGAAATATGGGATTTTTATAGTTCCAAAATACTGGACTGTCCTGTCGATGACATTGACAGTGGGGCGCCACCGTCAATACCGGATCGCTGGTTCAGATTTTTGCCATGTTGGAAACCATATAGTTGAACGATGGTAGCGCCCCCCTGTCATTGAGTTTGGCGGGACAGTTCAGCGTGGGTCATCTATATTATAATTATGATTTATTGTACTTACAAATGAAAATGGTCCAATGACAGTTCAACTTTCACCCGGGACAAACTTGACCTTCACTGGTTAGGTTATTGGCGGTCAAGCTGTAGATCCTGGCTACACAGGAGTTGCAGCGGTGGGAATAGTCCCGTTACAAATGAAAAGTGATGCTATGGACTTTGTTTCTAATTCTTGAACTGTTCGTACACTTTTTAAAAGCCTTAAGAAAGCATTTTTTTAAAGTTTGTACCACAGAATTCACAAATGGAAATTTTGAAGTCTTCATAATTTTCAAAACTTTATTTCCAGTTTTTAAAATTATTTGTATTCATTTACACGAAGTATACATAATGTTAAAATTAATGTGCGTTACATAATAAAGTTACATTCATTAAAAGTCTTTTTCAACGTCCATAGTGACACATGCTTACAATATTATAATTCAAATACCTTAATTTTTTTCTGTCACTGCACATTTTATGCATAATTTTAAATGAATTTCTACATTTTTTATTTTTAACTCATATCCGAGAAGCACTTTTAATCGATTATTTTTTTTAATATTAAACGTAGGCAATCATAATAATATTGTAATAAGTTTTTAAATCATTTCAAATCCAAAATGGCTGAAAAATTGCAGCATAAACTAACTTTATTCTTCTATACATTTTCTTTATAGTATTAATTTCCACTGGTATTATACCAGAGCCCATACCTTAAAAAAAACTAACCATCAGTGCTGGGGTCTCGTTTCAAAACACTACAAGTACACTTCTGACATTTTTTAATTATTATTTAACGACGTTCTATTCAACAAAGTCAACAGGACTCTACAGTAAAAAATCCTTTCTTTCTTTACTCGAAGCATCGTGAATCAAAAACCTGGCCTTTTTCTCTTTAGTAAAGTCTTTCCTTTTCGATGAAAATACAATTCTTTCAACATACATTAATTTATTTGATAGCTCCATCTGTATTCATATTATTTCAAGGTAGGCACTAGGTTTAAAATTGGATTCGATTATCTACTCGAATGTCGTGAAATACCACTGTGTTAACAAGAAAAATGCCTTCTATAGTCCGGTCGCCGAGCACGTAGAATTTCGTCCAATGACCCCTAGCTACCCATCCTTATCGCTCGCGCGTAGTTATATTGCTGTCGCGCAGTGAATGTGCGTAGCTTGGGGTCATTGGACGAAATTCTACAGGGCTATAGCAACAAACATCTCTGGATTAATGATTTTTATTTATTTAGTAAACTCATGTGTTAAACTGTGGCTTGTTAACCGTCACAAGCTTCACTTACGCCCGTATTCACACACATTACTATGAGGTCTCACAGTGCGCGTGGACGCACAGGGTGACACACGAACCAATCACAGAGCTCTATTCAACGCTATACGTTCGATTTGCTGCTTCACTTCAGCAAGCATTTGTGTATACGGGCGTAAGACCGTTTATTTTTTACTTTTTCTGAATCAAAATAGCACGATATTTAAATTTTGCCTTTTTTATTTAGTTATTAATGATTAACTAAAGTTGCTATGAAACTTATTTTAAACGTATTCTGCTAACATATAAATCAGTTTTAGAGCCAATCATGTGTCGTGATCTACCATTTTGTTACCAATAAAAATATCTTTTTCATCTTGTCCTCGCAAAAGCAAAGCAAATAACTGAATTCACTGTTGATTCTACTAATCACTTGTTAATAGTTCTGTATGACCACTCTGCTATCAAGAAAAACGTCTTCCACCAACAAAACAGCCGGATACACTGCGTTACAACTGTGTTACATAGTGGTTGTCGCTGCGTTACTACCGTAATATCACTACGTTACCAGGATACCATTGTGTTGCCACTTTGTTACCAGTAGGACTGGAATGCACGCTGTGATAAACTTACATTATCGCGCCATTTATTGATTTTACACTATAAACCAATACATTTGACGTCTAAAATCATCGATAAGAATTTATTACAGCGCGTATCCTAACCCGGCTGGATCCCACCGTATTACTACCATGATATTACTTGTTGACATCGTGTTACCATGATACCAGTGTATTACCATGACACCACTGTGTTACCAGGATGCCGCTATGTTAACGCTGCGTTACCACCGTGTTACATGGTACCACTGTAACCGCTATATTACCACAGTACCACTGTGTCACCATGATACCACTTTTTACTGTGCTACCATGTGCCACTGTGTTACCATGGTAACATTGCATGGCCGCTATACTACCATGGTACCACTGTCACCATGATACCATTATTTTACCATGGTACTACTATGTTACCATGGTAAGACTGTGTTACCACACTCCCACTATGTTACCATGGTACCACTATGTTACCACGCTACCACTGCGTTACCATGGCACCACTGTTATCATGGCACCACTGTGTTACCACGCTCCCACTGTGTTACCACGCTCCCACTATGTCACAACGTCACAGCCCGAAGCAGAGCATGGCGCGCGGCTCACTGCGCCTAGGCGCCTCCAGTGGTAGCGTGCTAGCAGTAGGAGGGTGGTCACATAGTGCGTTAGCGCTGTGGTACCATGGCACCATTATGACACCACTATGTTACCGCAGGATACCGCTGTATTACCGCAGTGATACCACCATTTACCACGGTACCACTATGTTACCACGGTACCACTATGTCATCACGATACCACTGTGTTACCATGGCATCACTGTTATTATGGTACCACTATGTTACCACGCTCCCACTGTGTTACCACGCTTCCACTATGTTACCATGACATCACTGTTATTATGGTACCACTATGTTACCACGCTCCCACAATGTTACCACGCTCCCACTTTGTTACCATGCTACCAATGTGTTACCACTGCGTTACCACGGTACCACTATGACAACACGTCACCGCAGCGTCACCGTCACAGCCCTATCACTATGTAACCACGCTACCCAACGCTCCCACAATGTTACCACGCTCCCACTATGTCACGTCACAGCCCGAAGCAGAACATGGCGAGCGCCCGCACCGCGAGCGGTCGCTCGGCTCACTGGGCCTCCTCGTCGCCTCCTCCGCCTTCGCCTGCCTCGGGCGCCGGTTCCTCGTCGCGGGGGAGCCTGGGGACAATCATCATCATCATAATAACGTGTTATATCATAAATAGAATAAACTAAAGGGCCCTCTTCCATGGCGAGGTTGCTTAGTTAGCTCGTCATGTCTGTGAACAGGCGCTGCTTACGGGGATTGGTCAATCCAAGTTATTCAAATTTATGTATGCGAGTCATTTCAACTAGTACCTTAATATGTAAGTCTAGATATTAGCACGTCACTACCTTGTTTAATATACCGCGCAATCTTATATACCCATTCTTATGATACACCATACAAGAATGCATGGTAAATTCAGTGAACTGCTCCTGAATCGAATGTACCTACTACTGCTATTTCTATTTATTTATATTAACCGGCAGACAGTGGTGACTGAATTTGTTGCGGCGCTTCTTCTCAGCACTTGCCAAATGTNTTCTCATCCTTTAACTTTAACAAACGTCAAAAATCTGTCAAACTCCATACAAAAACGTTAAAGTTACGTGGTGTAACTCAGCCCAATAAAAGTTTACACACACATTGACCGTAGTAACAAGTACAGAAGGGTTCTTTTTTGTTTGATCTAGAGTTACTGCATTCGTTTAGTTTCTGTGCGCTCACGTTCCGTCTCAGTCGCGTTTCGCTCACGCGCCGCATTTCGACGGCTGTATATCAGAAGATTTAGTTACACTTTGGGTTGCAACATCTGTCAAGGGATCTTCTTGTCGTGTCGACACAGTCTCAACCTAAAACTCCGCTACCAGAGTGGCCGCGTTGTCAGTAGCCTTCATTAAATCTTCCTGCGTGCAGTTGTTTGGGCACGGAGGGCATGACATCATTTGCTTCGTCGACTGGGGAACAGAACCACACTTGCACTCCTAGATTGAGCCATCTCTCCACTTGAACAGATTATTATCCTTACTACAGCCGACCTTCGTCTAAAGTCTATTTAAAGACTTCCAGGCAAGCCAGGAAAGCTTATGTCCAGGTGGAGGACTCAGACATAGGGAAAAAAGGGCAGGGAAGATCAGCTCTCTCACGCCATAACCTGCATTTCTCTTTCTATTGTCAAGGGATACTAAAGGTCTATTATGTCACACATAACTCTTTCTTACATTACAGGTGCCAAAGCCTCCAACACCGAAGCCTACTGCGACGCCGCCGCCGCAGACGCAAAGTTTGCCGGCGCCTTTACAGCCGAATCAACAGGATGACACGCCCTGGATATGCCATTGGCGAGGCTGTGGCAAGTAAGTGAAGATTTGGTATTAGATGTTACAGTAATTTCCTACAATGGTAATTTGATACTGGTTGTGAAATTTTGTTTATGGAAATCTTCCAACACTCTTCAGTGCTGGACGCAATTATCAAATAATTCTTTGGAGTAACGTCTGAAAACGCAGATTTAAAATCTGCTGATTTAAATTATGTGTGAAAAGCTGGGTCTTCATTTATTTGTTATATTCGCTTACAATAATGTGCTCATTCGGTTACTACTTAAAAATAAAGACTCACTTGTTACGCCATATAGTTTAATGCCTGTTTTCACCATGAATCCCTAATTTTTAACCTCCTATGGTAACACATAACAGCTGGAGTTTTGTTTTCATAGGGGTCACTTAAAAATTAGGGATTGATGGTGAAAACGGGCATAAGACAGCCAGTTTGTTAAGAAAAGTTATTTTTAAACATTTTTGATGCCATCTGGCCAGTGACGATAACTTTTCTTTATTTCTTTCGAGTCTAGTTTCTCGATAGTTGAACTCGCTTAAAACAAACCCTGTTTTTGTTCCTAGGTCATTCGCAAACGCAGCAGAGGTGTTTTCGCATGCCGCTCGCGTCCATTGCCCGACCAACGCAGCGGGCGAAGCGCCCTGTCTGTGGTTAGACTGCGACCGGGTGCCGCGCCGGACTTTCGCGCTTCTCAACCATCTTACTGACAAACACTGCAGTGAGCATGTAAGTGTATATGTAGTAGAAGTCATGATTGACTCGTCAGTGACTTTCATTATAGTTTATTCAGGGTAAGAAGGTGATTATGACAGTTCTATTTAGTGAAGCGCTTCTTTTAAACCTAATCGATATTTTTTAGAATCGAGAATGTTTTCTTAAGAAATCTAATCGACTTTTTATTTGTTTGATTTTTAATTTTATCTACGAAAAATCATAATTATATCTGCGAATTTTAATTATCTGGAATAAACGTTGTTGTTACACAATAAATCACAAAGAATTAAATATTATGCATTTTATTCTATAAAAACAACAAATAACAATAACAAACAACTCGTGGAGATATAGCATAAAACACAACCGGTCATGCAAGGCAAACGCACACGTACTGACTGAGCTATAAATATTTGCATGCTTCGTGTAAGCAAAACATGACTGAAAATTTTTCTGTGTAACATCTGTATACAGGGTGTTAGGTAAATGGGTATATGAGCCGACACTAGCCCATGTTAACATGGGCATATAAATGGTATGGTGAAGTCAGAAATTTGATATCATCATTTTAATTTTTTTAATTTTCATACAAAATAAATTTAATAGAATCGAATAAATTTAATCGATTTGTATGAATAAAATGGGCTAGTGTCGGCTCATATACCCATTTACCTAACACCCTGTATACCGTGTTTTCAGCAAATAAATGTATTCTTATTCTTATCATCGACAGGCACTAAAAGCGATATTCAACGCGCGACGGCACACAGCTGCGGATTCGGATAGCAACAAGCCAGTTTCTCTCGGCGGCTACCCGCCGAATGCGGCGCTAGCGGCGCTCAACAAACACGCTACAGATATGTTCAACCCGAGAGAGCTCATGGTAAGTTACACCATACAGTATATCAACCTCTTTGTAGGAACACTGATCAACATTTTACACCATTTTGGAATATACTTTCGCCATAGGCGTTTACGATAAGTTTTAACTTTTGAAATGATTTAAGAATCACACCCGTATCAGGCCTGTTCATCTCCGCAAGTTTTCATCGAAAACAAAACACTCGCGACTACCCCTCCTGAGGTACTTATTCGACAGGACAATCACAAGCGAGTATTGACGCACGCACGTGTAATCTTCGTCCATTTGCATTGTAAAGACAATAAACTATATGTAAAAACGGTGGTGTAATTAATACTGTGCAGTATTTTTTAACTGCCTGAATAATAATAGAAACACAAAATATAATTCATGCTTACTCATGTATTTGCTCCGCCATTTTCCGCAGTTTGGCACCTCACGTCACATCATTTTACCGAAGTCAGAACCCCGATTACGGTAATTTTTAACGTCAACAATCCAGACACGCTGCTCGATTCTGCGATACGATTGGTCGTTCAACAGCGCACGCCAGCTGTTTTGACCAATCGTATTGCAGAATCAGAAACGCATCAGAAACGCGTCTGGATTGTAGACGTTAAAAGTTACCGTAATCGGGGCTCAGCCCTATAGCTTCGGCGCAGTGCCGATCACTGACGTTTGTCAACAAAATGGTGCCTGACTCTTGAGACAGGCTAAATTACACCATATTGTTAATGACATTGAGCATAATTTTTTTAAAATACCTTCGCGTAGTAAAGCTTCTGTACGTAGTACTTATTATTATTCTGTGCCCGTATTCACAAACGACGCTTGCTTAAGCGAAGCAGAAACGCCATGCGAAGTTGAACGCACAGCGTTGAATAGAGCTCGTGTGTGTCACTCCGCCATTCAAGTATTGTCTATGGATAGGTTTTTGGCACCCTGTGTGTCTATGAGCACTTTGACACTTCATAGTAATGTTTGTTAATATGGGTGTTTGTAACGACAAGATACAGCTAAACGTTTCTTTGTAATGGGAATTTAAAATATTCGATTTTCTTAAGGCCTCGACAATATACAATATTGTAAGTTGGGCTTATTGTTGGAAAACGACTCGTATGGGTATACCCATACATATTAAATCATGACCTCAGATACAAGTGCTGATCTATCATAAAAGTCATGTAGCCTATTCCAATTTAACTTTATTATGTCTGACAAAACATTAAATTCAGACGGTTACATTTTAGCAGCTTCAAAAGTCTTGACCAGTCATAATACAGTTCAATAAATCATAGGTAGCTTGAATCATATCCTTGGCCATCAAACTCACAACTTTGTGTGGTATAATACAGGTCATATTGGCCATCAAGCTAATGACTTTGTATGATCATTTTACATGTCAATAATCAGCTTTTTCATCACATTTTTGCGCACAATTAAGCGACATGGCCCAACAAAGGTAACTTAATGTTCGATTGTACTAAAATCTGTCAATGTAGATAGTTTGTCTCACTCCTTAGAAAATAATAATAATAAGATATTATCTTAGGCCCGATTCGACCAAACTTTTATCCGAGAATAACTCCTGATATAACTGGCACATTGACAGTTTCAGTATGGGAAATATGTCAAAACTGACGATTTATTCTGAGATTAATATTAACCCTTGTTTAGTCGAATCCACCCTTAATAGAAGATGAAGTGAGAAATATACTCGAAAATGATCTTTTTACTTTAACAGTATTTTAGTGATAGTTTGATAGATTCAGGTGTCCATTTGTGTGAGTGTTAAATCTAAAGTGATAAACTGAGGAGTGAGACAAAGATAGATTTAATGAGACAAGTCTATCTATCATTAAAAAGCATGATTGTTGTACTTCTCAAACTATTGATAAAAATCTCACACTGGGCATCCATACTTATCCACTTTAATTTTTATAAAAGTAAACAAAGAACCATATAAACGGAGGCATTGGGGTCTAAATTGTATACTTTCTGGGTCATAAAAAGAAATCTTTTACTACTCAACTCAATTGGCAATACCATAAAAATTTATATGAAAAAACTCACACACACATTTTGCATATGCGAATTGTAGCCTAGTGTGAGTTGTAGTATTTCTTGACTATTTAACTGAGTAGCTGTTAACCATGTCGCTTTTGTGAACATTTGAGCGAGGGATACACTAGAGAAAAAAATGAAAGCATAGTCACACTGGTAACACTAAGGCCCAGAACAGACGGTGAAACGCAACTGCAACGAAAATGCAACTTTCTGATGATTCTTATGAATGAAACTGAAAGTTTCAAACTGGTCGCGCCATGTGTGGTCTCTCAACGGACGCTATGGCAGAAACTTAGATGCAACTCAAAAGTAACTAGCAGTTGCAGTTGCGTTTCACCGTCTGTTCTGGGCCTAAGTATACCTATTTAATAGGCGCGGGTAGTAATGCACCGCGTATACATATGTGTAACCATTTAACCATCAATTTATTGTTACTTAGAGTTTTTACAACATATTTCTCTTACATACGTAGTTGTTTAGATAATTGTTAAACTCTAACGTCACCTCTAGTGCATCCATCGCTTCAACCCGGTCATATACATCGGATATTTTTTATTCATTTTACTGAGATAACGTTTTAAATGACGACCGATGTATGTGATAGCACTCATTATTGTTTAAAATTATGGTTCCCATTTAAACTGTTGTATCTCGTCGACATTCGATTGCCAAACGATTTTGAGCTCTATATCGTCAATATACGATAGCTTACGTGGGAGCTACATTATTAATATGGCACTTATCACGTGTGACGTCACTAATGTGTGTGTTAACGCGCGCAGAACAGGGCCGATGTCAGTCGCACGCAGGATCAGATGGTGAGACACTAACGCATTGCAACGTGCTTTTGTTTTGGGAAAGTAGATCCAGGGGTATAGTTTTGAGCTTAATGAATAATGGAGTAAAGGCGTGTTTTCTTTGATAAGTAACTGAGCAAAACGACACGAGCGGCATTTTCGAAAATACAGCCTTATTCACATAACAAAACTTCAACGACAACAAATCGCTGAATGCGATCCTATCCAGTAATCGTTCTATCGAAATAACCCGTGTGAATACGGATTTAGAACTGTTTTTCAATGGGACGACTTCTGAACGTCAGCGAGATCTTGACTGTCAAAATACGTGAATTAACTACAGATCAACCCAGTTAGGCCCAGAACAGACAGTGAAACGCAACTGCAACGATCTGTGCAGTTGCGTTTCACTGTCTGTTCTGGGCCTGTGCTGATCTAAATACATAAAACGATGAATCGTTTCAGCTGTGTGAAGTTGACCAAATGCGAATTTGTCATTGTGAGAAATAGACATTAGGGGTCATCCATAAAGTACGTCACACGTAAAGAGGGGGGGAGGGGGTCGACAAAGTGTGACATGGTGTGACAAGGGGTGGGAGGGGTCCTAAGTTTTGTGACATCACATTTCGAAATCTAATATTATCTAGAGGTACTAATCACGTAATTTGAAATATAAATTAAACTGAAAAATACCCCCACCACTTAAGCACAACTCCGTCGAAGTCGAAAACCTAGGAGAGTTTTAATGGGCAACCAATGAAGCCATTAAATCAATAAAATCTTTTGTAAGATTTTTTTCACATTTAAAATCTAATTCTACTGGCCTATAATGCCGCCAAATGAACCGTACCTCGCGCGTGATTTTATTGTTGCTATTTTTTTGTTAATTTAATAATTTTTCGATGTGAAATTGCAAAACATGTGACGTCACACTAGGGAGGGGGGGGTCTCAGAAATGTGACCACCTGTGACAAGGACGGGGGAGGGGTCAAAAAATCATGAAATTCGTGTGACGTACTTTATGGATGGCCCCTTATGAGAAGTTGTCTTTTAGCGAAGATGACATTTTAAGAAGTTGTTATTTCGAAAAGTGGACATTTTGCGTCCCGGTTGTCATTTTGAGAAGTTGTCATTCCGAGCTGAAACGAAATAAATAAATAATAAATAAATAAATAAAAGTTTATTTAACAACTTTAACATTTTTTACATGAATGAATGTTTGTTCAACGAAAGAAAGTTAAATCAACGATCAATTAAATGAGTGACAGTTGTGGTATATTTATGGTGTTTTATGATACTTTCTGGATCTACTTTTGAATTTTTGTTGTGGTTGTTGTGTTGTTTTGTGTTTACGCTTCATTATACAATTTCGTTAACGTATAGCCAATTTGAGTGAAAATTATGTTGATAAATACATAGTTGATTTGTAAAAGTTATTATCTCCAGCTCTAGGACTAAATAAATAGAGTTGTTTAAATGAATAAAGTATTTAGTCTTGAAATAGTTTAAAAAAACAGCATGTGTTATTATTTTTTATTCAGCTTGAATATGTGTAATTGTGTTATTCATATATTTTGAAAATAATCAATAACTTGCGAGACATATGTAGTTATATCATTCTGCAAAGCATGTTTAATTTTTTTATTGATTCCACCTTAAGATGAGTCATTAAGGTTCAACCAAAATATAATATTTTAGTAAACATTATATGAAAACAAAACTTTTTCATAGAATCATTTCATAGTAACATGCGGTCATCGGTGATAGTTGATGTTGTGTTGTACTGTGTGTTTTGTTAATGTTTTAATAATAATAATGCCCGGTTTCTATTTCAATAACCATAGTTTCTAGCAGCACTTGGCCTTTTCTTACCACTATAATGGCCTCTCATACAAAAGTGGTACCTACTTTTTAGAAGTTACTACACAGCAAGTTAAGATCAGTTGACATTAGTAAACCGGGCATTAGTTGTGTAATTTGTGTTGTGTTGTGTTTGTAACCTTGTTGTGTTTTTTAACAGTTTTATCTATGGTAGGCAGCACATCAAGCTAAAATATAGTTGTAAAACAATGAAAATGTCTAGTTTTATGTGCTGCCTATTATTTTCGAAGTAGATGATGATGTATTTTTTTTCAAACGTAGCAGTAATAGATGTCATATTATGGGGAATTTTATAGTTTGCAAACATAAGATAGTATTCTAGAAAACATTCAAAACTCGCTTCAAAGTAAATAGCCCAACGGACTGTTCGGTATTGGACTGTCAGCTAATTGATTCCTTTCGCTGAGTTTTTATAATGATTCCCCTTCTTCTAATGTAACCTATACCCCTCTAGGGTAACAGAAATTTTAGTAATTTAGAAAAAATCATCCTTATAATTGGCTTAAATACTTAAAATCAAATAACTTGTATCGATCAATTAGAATTTAGAACTGAGTTTTGAGTGTATTTATAGAATACGAGCCTTACTCAAATTACAATTGGTAACTAATCTAGTACATATTTCTTTAGGATGAAAATGAGGGTCCAGTGACGAAGAGCATACGGTTGACTGCGGCTCTCATATTGAGGAACATCGTCATTTACTCCAACACAGGCAGGCGGTAAGTAAAAAATAACAATTTGCTCTCATTTTATTAAAAAAAAGGTTCTAGTAGTTAGTCTAGTCTAATAACGAACTAAGTTCTCGTAGTTAAGAAAATTGTGCATACCTTTATTTAAGCTGACTCGAGAATGATCGAAAAAGAAAAATAATTCCTTGCTTTACACAGGGCATGTTTCGTTTTCGGTCTTGAGAAATAGAAAAAGAAATAAATCAATATTTTTTAGAGAATTTCTGAAACTTGCTTTTCACTATTGAAGATTTCTAGTACTTTGTCGTGCTATTCGATTATTTTAACGTTTTAATCTGTACACGTTTTCATAGACCACGCAATCAATATTTTTGGTTTATTATCGTACCTCTAAGAACAATATTTTTCTTTCAGCCAACTCCGTTCATACGAGGCCCATCTAGCGTCCATAGCTCTCAGCAACGTGGAAGCATCGCGGACGATCGCCCAAGTATTATACGACATGCACAATATTTGAGAAGGGCGCGGGCCCCAGGCCCGGGATACAGACAATTAGTGACGTCACACCTTAGAATTAGTGACGTCATAACTTAATACGTTGGCAGTGAGAGCCATCTAAAGTTTGTGAACAGTGAAAGGTTTAAGTAAGATCAAAATAACGCCCGTATTCAAAAACTATGCTTGCTTAAGTGAAGCAGCAAATCGAACGCACAGTGTTGAATAGTCTGTGATTGGTTCGTGTGTGGTCTGTGCGTCCACGCGCACTGTGAGATCTCATAGTAATGTTTGTGAATACGGGCGTGTTTTTTTTAAGCTTCGGCCAAACCAACGCGTGCAGCTTGCGTTGTTCTTGATGGCAATCACTGCGCATGCATAGATCGCCGCGACAAATGACAGGACGCGTTGATGTGAACACTACAAATTCATACACGACATCTGTGGCCTAATTCACGTATTGTGACAGCCAAGATCTCGCTGACGTTCAGAAGTCGTCCCATTGAAAAACAGTTCTAAATCCGTATTCATAATCCGTATTCATTTCGATAGAACGATTACTCGATAGGGTCGCATTCAGCGATTTGTTGTCGTTGAAGTTTTGTTACGTGAATGAGGCTAGGCTACTGATCGCCATCGCGCACGCAGACTGCACGCGTTGTTTTGGCCGAACCTTTAAACGTTATAAATAGTATTGATAAGCTTGATTTGTTAGAAACTAGCAGTGCCTGTTACTTCGCACGTGTGATTTTTTTCCCAGTCTATCGTCCAGTTAAATATGAGGAGCTACCGGTGGATTAGGGGTGAAGAATTTTCGGCTCTTCCCGAAATAAAATGATTTCAACTTACGATAATATACTTACCATCACGTATGGTTTTGATTCTACAAGTGAAATCACTCAATCTATGCCTTTCTTTAGTGATAAGTGTAATTTTCTATCAAATCTCCTATCTATATTTTTTTCAATCATTATTTCTGATGTTCTAAAAACGGCCGATGAGTGTAAATGAAGTGAATAGTGAGATATAGTTCCAAAATACTGAACTGTCCTATGCATGACATTGACAGTGGGGCGCCACCGTCAATACCGGATCACTGGTTCCGATTTTTGTCATGTATGAAACCATATAGTTGAACGATGGTAGCGCCCCCCTGTCATTGAGTTTGGTGGGACAGTTCAGCGTGGGTCATCTATAAGCTGTATGACATTTATAATAATTATGTGTCCCACGCTACATAATTTAGCTAATAGCTAAAACTGGTTTGGATTAGATTAAAAAGTCAGCTAAACTAAACCTGACTAAGCTCGTATTAAAGATTTTTAAGTTTATTTTTTACTAGTTTACTAAACACGGCACATACTTTTTTTATTATGATTTTTGAGTGTTGTACAGTTAGCATCAAATAGTTCGTGACCCCCAGAGTATAGTTCGTTTCATCCACGAAGACGCGCCCCACCAATTTTTGGTCGAGGGAAGCGCGGGGTGCGGGGAGTTTGATCCGAGCAATCCGAGCGTCATTATTGTAGTGTGCGTGTGCACTCATGGATAATTTAGCGTGTCAAAGTCAAAGTCAAAATTTCTTTATTTGTTTAGACTAATAAATAGTTCATACAAATCGTCATTTTGCTCTTAAGCGTGTACCGATAACACTCAAATATTAGCAAAAGAATGGTGGGGGCGCGTCTTCGCGATAGCCCTCAATGGAATTAGGTTGTCAACTTTTTGGCCACTTTGGGCGTCACGGAGTATTTGACGCTGACTGTACGAATATTTTGCTATAGTTGTTGCAATTCACGAAGGCGGGTGAGCTTTACATGTGTGGTGGCTCGCTACTGTTCATTTTTCAAAAGTTTTGATAGGCAGATTAATCTTTATATGCATGTACACGTACACACACAAGTAAAGCTCACTCGCCTTCGTGAGTTATAAGAACATAACAATCATTTAAATAGTAAGTATTGTACCCAGTGAGAAGCTGACTTAAAATGATTGCATATAATCATAATGGTTACATTTAAAAGTAAAATCTTGATTATTAGTTGAATTTTGTAAGTATTTCGGTTAGTGTTACTTAAATATTTTTTTTATTGCTAAAATAACTTTTGTACTATAAAAACAACGGGGATGAATATTGACAAATTCGTTTATATTGTATACAATCTCATAAATACTGTAGTTATAAGAATAAAGAGCATTTGTAACTAAATATAGTTAAATCATAGGCAAAAATATGTTGGAAGTGCTAGAAGAAAAACAGTTTGGTTGAATGTCTTATCTCATAATTAGTCCATACTAAAAGTAACGAAATGTATAGATTTTTTGTATTTATGATGTTATTAATATAAGATATCATTAACGGCATGACGATTTGTCTATATTTATGTAATTTGATAAAATGTTTAGCACTTTTTTACAAGTAAGTAATTTAATATTACTCTGTTTATACTTACCTAGTGAATTGGTACATTGTGACGTCATTCAAACTTAAATTATACTGTCTAAAATGTACTAAATAATTATACGTATAACATCTTCATCTAAATTGTTACATTTAGTGTGTTGACTTCAAATATCAGCAACATTATGATTACTTAACTAATTTTGAATAAAATCTACGAAAAGGCTTAGCCTTACTGATAACCTTATCACTTTTTTATACTCTCTATTATAAAAATATACCACTTTTCTTTTCTCTAATATGTCTTTGACCTATCATAGGCATAGCAAGTAATTTTCAGTGTAATGTGATTTAACCTCTAGATATTATGTATAACTCTGAATATAAAAATAGTATATTTTTTGTATCAACGTGAGGTCCGCTAACTGTAAAGTACTATACGCGAGAAGTTGAATCTAAGTTGTATGTAAGCGAACACAAAGTAGCGTAAGCATTAAACCTGAAATAAAACAAAAGTAGTTGTGTATTTCTTGTTTCACTTAATAACCCCTTCTAAAATAATTTCTTTCGTAGAGATTGATACTCAATAAAAAAAGTTAGCTTCTTTATACAAGAAATCGTTTCATCCACGAAGCGCGCCTCACCATTCTTCCGCAAATGTTTGAGTGTTATCGGTACACGCTACATTATCAATGAGTGCACACGCAAACTACAATAATGCCGCTCGGATTGCTCGGATCAAACTCCCCGCACCCCGCGCTTCCCTCGACAAAACTTGGTAGGGCGCGTCTTTGTGGATGAAACGATGTAATTAATTGGATGCAAATCCTTGCATCTACGAAGAACGATCTACCAAGTTATCCAACTTGGTAGATCGATTATGAGGAGTGTCTTTTCAAAAGGGGATACCTACATTCTATCTTATTTTTCACAAAATGGGAAAAACTTATATGGGACATATTTACAGACCTACCGAAAAGCATTATTTCTGTTATGAAACTATTTCATTACAGTGTTCTAACTACACTTTTTGCCAAAAAATATGACTTGTTAATTNACTTCGTACGCATGAATCCCGTTTTACCCCCTTAGGGGTTGAATTTTGCAAAATCCCGTCTTAGTGCAATGAGCACCTACGTTCAAAAAAGAACCCCCACTCTTAGCACTTGTAGTTTCTGAGATTTCGTGATGAGTGAGTGAGTCAGTCAGTCAATCAGTCAATCAGTGACCTTTCGCTTTTAAGTTTAGTAACACTTTAATTTATGTTTTTATTATGGTTTTTAAAGGTCATAGCAGACTTATCAACTCGGAAAGGGATCAACACCGTATCGCCTTTCGCGAGCTGTCATCGCCTTTCGCGCGCTGTCAACCGCGAGGCGAGGCGTTTACGTTACGGTCTACGGTTGCAGTATGGTGTTTCTTACAAAGAATACTGACCGCCTCGAGTTGATACGGTTGCGATCCCTTTCCGGGTTGATAAATGTGCGACGAACTTAAAAAGGGACAAGAGCAATAGTCTTTCTTTAGACCGAAATTAACGCAGGTGAAGTCGCGGGCGAAAGCTACCTAAGCTACTAACCGCCCTCTGCAAACAAGAGGCTATTGAGTGGTGGAAGTCTACATCGGAACAAAAACACTCAAAAGCACTCATTCAGGGATATACTCAAAGGAACTGTTAAAGTTTAAAAGATACAAAGCTTGTGCAGTGACTAGAATACTAACCGGCCACTGCAAACTAGACAAACACAAATCAAACATGAACATGATCAAAGAAACTCTGTGCAGATTCTGCCATACAGAAGAAGAAACGGCCATGCATGTTCTCTGCTCATGCGGCCCGCTTATGAGCAAAAAAGTATCCATCTCGGGCGACACATTATGCACCCGGATGAGATAGCAGATATCAAGCTCCAAAGAATCTGGAAATTTATAGACTCAACGGGACTAAGCAGTGAACTCTAAACACAAGGGCTGCCACAATAGTTCAAATCTGGTCAAGCTGGCGCAAATGAGGGCCCAAAAACCAATAGGTAATAATACCTTATAACAAATAGGTAACACTATAATCATCCAATTGCATGTTATTATCGCATCGAGCGTGCTTGTATGACTGCACAGTGCACACTTCATACAGCGGACCTTTCTCCAATGATTTGTTTAGTACTTTAGTCAATGTCAATGACTCGGCCAGATGGAAGGAGATCCGTAGGCTGATGGTTGAACCTCAAAATGGCTACATTCATTAATTGAGGGTTCAAAAAGAGCTTTACACTAAACAAACTCTGAGTAAATCGAAAAAAATCTCTACCTACTCAACTTGTATCAAACAAAAAATTTTAACATTTAGTAGGTACTTTTTACAAATATAAAATTCTATGTATATTGCCAATAATTTTGAAAAAAACCTTTGTGGCGATTTTATTGTGGTAATAAATATTTTTAATCAGTTTTGAGCAAAGGGCATGCTGGGATCTGAAAAGCTGAAACAAATTCTAAAAAAAAGGGAAATAAGTAGACCCATTTGAACAGAAGTTTCTCATAGTGATAAGAACGCTTATAATGTTTTTTCTTTATAATATTCAGTGTTTGTGATGATTGGAAAGTTGACATCAATAAAAAATAATTCAAAGACAACTTTTATTTAAATACCCTTCACCCAAGTCCTTCAGGACTGTAGACCTGAAAACCGAGTTAGTTTTCAGGTCTACGATCATTCTGCGACAATTATGAGTTTCACGCGGATGAAGCCAAGTATTAGATACGTACGGAACCAAATTACTCTGCGTCGACTCAACCAAGCCCAAATCGTTTCATGACAATGACGTAACCGCTTGAGAGACATGGC